ACCAGCTCTCATACTGCTCTCATAGTATGCCTCTCGTCCAATGAAATGACTTGCTCGCTCTATGACGCGTTGAACCCAATGTGAGAAAATTACTCTGAATTCTGCGACGCAGCACCGGAGATTACTTCCAAAAAGTTGTTCACGTTCTCAACTTTTTACGTTTAACGTTATATTCGTTCGGTACACACGTGTACCGAACCGAAAGGCCCGTACCGAATAATTTCGGTACGTGTACCGTTACACCCCTAAAAAATATGTATTATTTTGACTCCATTGTAAGAGAACAGTTTGCACAACACAGTTTCATCAAAAGTATTTCATAACAGAGGTTTGACCAAGTATGCACCTCAAACAGAAATGTAATTTTAATGCCACATGTATGGTGACGTAAAATCAAGCTACATCCTTTTTTTTCTCCTAACCCACATCTTCATACCAATTATATTTCTTTAGGTGGACGCAATGGATATGGTGCTAAGCTTTGCAACATTTTTAGCACCAAGTTCACTGTGGAGACTGCCTGTAAAGAGTCAAAGAAGAATTTCAAGCAGGTATGGGGCATGCTGACCACCTTTTACAGTTGTGTAATCACTGTAACATGTAAAGGAAAATGTTTACATGATGGTAATGCTTCCCACAGACTTGGTATGACAACATGAGCAGGACAGGGGATTCTAACATCACACCCTTTGGGGGAGATGAGTTCACTTGCATCACCTTCACACCAGACCTGTCCAAGTTTAAAATGAGCACCCTGGACAAAGACACAGTGGCTCTGATGACCAGGAGGGCGTACGACATCGCTGGAGCCTCCAAAGGTGTCCGTGTGGTCCTCAACGGCAAGAAGATCCCAGTAAGTTAGTGTGCTAGTTAAGGCTGTACTAATTACATTGAAGCTCAATCCATAGCACAAATGTTACGTTTAATAATGAGAAAAGTACACCATACGATAACTATTTAAGTGATTATTGTATAACCCTTTACGGAATACATCTTGTGATCAAAACTTTCTTTGACTTTAGCTTACAGGCTTCCGTAGCTACGTGGACATGTATCTGAAGGACAAGCTGGACGAGGTTGGCAATCCCCTCACCGTGGTCCACGAAATCGTCAATGACCGCTGGGAGGTCTGCCTCACCATGAGTGAGAAAGGTTTCCAGCAAGTCAGCTTCACCAACAGCATTGCCACCACCAAGGTAACGTCACAGAATATTAGATCTTTAATTGTGCATTTATTGTACAAGTATCTATGTAACAGAGTGATTGATGAAGTGTGAGTTGTGAATCCAATATTACAATTGTTTGAAGTAGTTCGGTGATGTATTCAGATACTCTTTGAACACAAGTTAAGTATTGGAAAAGAAACCCCTGCAAATTGTTTAACCAACTTAAAAATACAATGTGGAGAAATGCCGTACGGCCTGCAATACACCCGAAGAAACCACAAGCATTTACATTTTTAAGGATCTGAAAAAGATAGTTGTATTTCAAAATATTGATTTAATCATAAATAGTTGATAGAAAGGTTGATTTTCTTATTCTTGTTTAAATGTAATGCATAACACCCAATACATGTTTAACACTATAATGTATGTAACACGTTTTTATCAGGGACGCTCAAATCACTACTTGTGATTCCCCGGGACTTACTACTTTGAAAAATCAACTTGACTTTTGATCATTTATCATCTTGATTAGTTAGCCTTGATTAAATGAACATCTTGAAGCAGCTATGAGGCATTTGAAGGCTGACTGAACCAGTAGACCAGGCTCTTTGGCAGCAAAGTACATGTTTGGCTTCTCTCCCAGTCCACTTTGTGTCACTAAGATTAAGATTGATGTCATTTATTCTGAAAATGGGATCTTGTGTTTGTCGTTTGGACCTCAGGGAGGGAGGCACGTTGACTATGTGGCTGACCAGGTGGTCGCGAAGCTCATTGATGTGGTGAAGAAGAAGAATAAAGCCGGGGTGGCCGTCAAGCCTTTCCAGGTAAAGTTGTTGGAGCAGTAATAAAAAAAACAATAGAGTAGAAAATATTAGAAATATTCTCTGATACTGAATTTACCCTACTTCTCTCCATCCAGGTGAAGAACCACATATGGCTGTTTGTCAATTGCCTGATTGAGAACCCCACCTTTGACTCTCAGACCAAAGAGAACATGACACTGCAGCAGAAGACCTTTGGATCCGTCTGTCCTCTCAGTGCACACTTCATTAAAGAGGTGCCAATGAAGAACCACTGACATTGCATTCTTACTCAGACAAGTGTAATCATTCCAACATCACAATTTCCTCTTCATCTTCTGTTATCCACAGGCCACATCCTGTGGGATTGTGGAGAGTATCATGAACTGGGTGAAGTTCAAGGCTCAGAATCAGCTCAACAAGAAATGCTCGAGTGTTAAACACACCAAAATCAAAGGGGTGCCTAAACTGGACGACGCCAACGACGCAGGTATTTTATAGCACACAAATCTTTTTTCTACACAGAATAACCTCAAGTAATAGAATGGGAGGGATGAAACCCTCTTGAATGGTCACACATGCAGAGCACACACAGTAGGAGGTGAACTGGGACCTATCCAAGTAGCAGTCCACACTCCATATTTAGATCTGTTCAGGGATTGAACCGGCGACCCTGCGGCTCACAGTCCAAGCCCACGATATATATCGTGCAGCCCTACTGTTTACCACTACCACTGGAATCTTATACAAAAAGTATAACTAATATAATATTATTGTACCCTTAACTTAACCTGAATCTGTGCAGACCAGCCTGGTTTTAACAGAATAAATAGATATGCCAAGAAAAGGCTGTTCAGTATGCAAATGTTGATTTTGAATGTCCACGTTATGAATTAAGCTTTAATCTATCAGGTACTTCCTAACAACTGAGCTGCCCTCATCCTGCAGTAACCATGTTGTCTTGCAGGTGGGAAGAACTCCATCGGCTGCACGCTGATCCTCACTGAGGGAGACTCAGCCAAGACGTTGGCTGTGTCCGGGCTGGGGGTTGTCGGCAGGGACCGATATGGCGTCTTCCCTCTCAGAGGAAAAATGCTCAACGTCCGGGAGGCCACGCTCAAACAGGTAAACCCACCTTCATTCTGATCATGACATGCCATGTCGTTTTGAAGATGGGGCTGCATGATTTGGAGGAACACAAATAATTGCAATTATTTTTCTTATGTTTTTAAAGGACCTTTACCAACCGTTCTCCTTTTTTTGAGTCTAGAATATGATTTGTAGGCCAGGATACCGCAGGGGTGTCAAACTCAATTTCATCTCGGGCCACATCAGCATTATGGTTGCACTCAAAGGGCCGGTTGTAACTTTCAATCTTTATTTATCTATATTGCACATTTAAAACCGCCTCAGTTGACCAAAGTGCTGTGCAGGGAACAAATATAAAACAACACAATAGGAGTAAAATAATAAAACAATAATTAAAAACAAAATAAAGAGCACAATAACTAGAAACATACAAATATCAAAATGTTGTGTTCAACTAGTATTAAAAGCCTGTGCAAAACTTTAAGACTATATATAAATATATCATATAAGTATATCATATATATAAAATAATGTATTATAATACATTATTTCCTCTGCGTTGGATTAATATCTGATAGGGTAATAACTTCATAATTAACTATGTCTGAAAAGCAGAAGTCTAGGACAAATAATTGCAAGTCTCTTCAGTGGCATGTCACAAAATGAGATGCATTATGGGACATGTAGTTTGTGGAAAACGTGCTTCTGTAAAGCGGCATGTAACCGTATAATATTCTTTGCAAGCTCTTGCGGGGCCACATGAAGTGAAGTCACGGGCCTTGAGTTTGACACCCCTGCCTTTCAAAACGAAAGGATATTTTAACTAGGGATGGGCATCGTTGAGGTTTTAACTTTTATCGACACCGCTTATCGGTCCGGTCTTTTAACGGTACTCTTATCGGTTCTTTTGGAGAAAAAAAGAAGGTAAACTAACTAAACAAATTGTGAACAAAACTAACATTGCTTTTTATTTAAATTAAATACATAATATTTCACATCAAAAGAAACAACAATGTTTTAACAAATCATATTAAATAATCTGATGACAGAACTGTAAACAGAATAGCTGAAACTTTAACAAATCAAATAACTCAGTTACCTCTAATCATTAACCCATGTTTGTATAATTGAGTTAACTCTGTGTGTTGCTGCTAGCATACATAACACCTGACGTGGAAACGTTACTCGTGGATGGGGCTACATAGCTACTTAGACAGTCAAACTGTGCATTTCTCCGTCACTTTTGGTAACGATCATTGTTACCAAATGCTCGTTACCATCGAGACGGGTAAAGTTTAACCAACACCTCGGCGCACGGTTCTCTCTCCATCTCCTCGTTGTGTGTGTGTTTGCTGCATGTAGCAGCTGCAGTGCTTGTAAACTGCCCCGCCCCCTTCGCGAGCAGGGCGGGGCGAGAGAGAGATCTCTCGGTCTTGGACTGGAAAGGATCGAAAATTACTAAAAATAATCATAGATGCATTTTGAGTCTTTTTGCGTATTAGGAAACGGAGTTGGCGGGACACTAAAACTTCAATAATTTTTGGTGTAGCAATTATACACAATACATATATTTGGACCATGTCTCCAGCTAGGCCGATAAAAAGACCGCATAAACGTCGGAGCTTAGCGGTACACGGTCTTTAATAATTCAGCCCTGGGGCCCCTTTAATACCGGGGCTCGGTACCCATCCCTA